TATTCCACTGTAAAGTAGTAGTGTATCTAGGCACATTTACTTATAAATCAAAAATTCCCCAGTTATCTATTTAGATGTTGCTTTGATATATATTTAATCTTCTCAGTCTACTTATAATTTGTAGGTGACAGATTATTTTATGTTGTGGGAAACTGAAACAGAATGTCCCCGGACCGTTTATGTGAACAGCGTCTGGCCTTTAACTGGAGACTAAGATATGGTATATTTCAATACCCCCAACTCACATATACCACATACATTAATAAGGGCCAAAATGCTGGGCCCAACCACAACAGCCAACCATAGGAAACTAGGATGCATTTTATATGGACATTTGTTTGGCAAATGTATCACAATCTATTTAACTGGTTGACAGCTGTGGTGGCAGTGGTTTACATGTGTATGTTTACAGTGTGTGTGTGTGTGTGTGTGTGTATGTATCTGTGTAGTTCACAGCAAGATCTGTCAGAATGCTGTAAGCCAAACAGTACTATGAAACTAAAAGGAAAAAAAGATCATTATCTTTGAAAATGTATTCTTATGTGCTGTCAATTATTTGAAGATTGCTTTTCCCAGCTGAAGGTCAGTTTAGCCACCTTTAGTCTGTTGCCAGAGGATCAACAATGGGTAAGATCCCAACCCCTACCCCAGTACCCACTGTGTCTCAACATTTTCCTTGATGATTTACATGAGTACATCATAATCCTTACAACTCTCAGCTGAGCGTGGTTGCTTACACTCATAATTCCAGCACTTTGAGAGGCAAATGCTGGCAGATCACTTGAGACCAGGAGCTAGAGACTAGCCTAGGCAAAATGACAAGACCCTGTCTCTACAAAAAAATAAAATATTAGCTGGGTGTGGTGGCATGCCAATACTTTCAGTTACTCAGGAGGCTGAGGTGGGAGGATTGCTGGAGCCAGCGAAGCTGTGGCTGCAATGAGCCATGATCATTATCACTGCACTCCAGCCTGGGCAACAGAGTGAGATCCTGTCTGAAAAAAAAATCCTGTCTGAAGAAAAAAAAAGTCATTCCAACTCTCTAATGGGGGTTTCTTTATACCATTTTATAGATGAGGAAAGTGGGGCTTGCAGAGGCTAACTTTTCCAAAGTCAGAAAGATAAGTGGTAAAGTTGTGTTGTAAACTCAAGTCTGCTGATTGCAAAGACCACATTCAGGCTCCTTTAAGTTAAGCTGTTTTACATCTTCCCAAGGAGAAATGACATGTTTTACTCTTTTGCTACTGACTTAATTATAATCATTATAAAACTAAAGCAGAAATTGATTATTTGATTATTTGACTAGAAATTTATTACACAGAAATTTATTGTTAACACTAAGTACCAAGGATTTCCAATTTCTATCCTACAGCTTGACATTAACATTTTAAATTATCATTTATTTTCTTACAGATATATCATAATCATACAGTAAACCCTTGATTTTTAGGATACCAACCTGCAGGAATGACCAGTCTCTTTTTAAAAAAGAAAGAAAAAAGAAATTCTCTTTAAAATATAGTTAGGATCCAGCGGTGTTTTTACCCAGCACTGTCTTGCTTAATGGATTTGTCTTAAAAGACATGCCACCCCAATGATGATAGGTGCATGAGAAGCTCATTTTGAGAACTAAGTGTGAAGCAGCAAAGAGGAGCAGAGTGGTAGAAATCACAGTGGCAGCAGCACTGGGGTGACATGGAACCTCAGGGTGGGCACCTGAGGCCACGTAGTGATGGAAGTGAGAATCAGCAGAGGGATAGCAGTTTGCTCTTCTTGTTGACACTGGAAAGGATAGCAGCAATGAAGAGTTAGAGTGAGGAACTGCTCTAATCTTTGCTGGAGGGGTTGCCAACAGCCCCTCATACTAGGCCTGTTGGGACACTTGGTGCCATACTGAAAAATAAAACAGTCATAATATATTGTCATAGTGGATTGTCAGTGTGGATGCCCGGAGACATTTATTTCATGTGGTAATATTGTTGCAGTAAAACTCCAGCCAAGAAACACAAAGAGAGCTTTGGAGACCAAAGAGAACTTTAATTCGGGCACACAGGCGGACAGCAGGTTCATGCCCAAAATGGTTGCCAACCCATACAAAGAATGTAGGCTTGCTTATATGCCGTTTGAGGTGGGAAAAGCAAGACAGGATACAGGTTTTAGACGAAGCCAGTAAGTTGTGTAACCCGTGATAATTCTGATAAAACTTACAATTTAGCTGTCTCCACCAGTCAACCTTGGAGCTGGACAGAGCTGGGGTAAGGGAAAACAGAAACATGTGGGGGTCTGAAGGCAGGCGATACCTTGGCAAGTTGAGATAAGCTCACAGCTGCAACTTGTTAGCAATGCTGGGAGGGGCTGCTTAAATTTTGTTTAGCCTATGTGTAATTTTTAAAAAACCTGTACTTAATGTTAACTATTATCTATTATCTATGCTTTGTTCATTATCTTAAACTTTAATGTTACTTGCATTATTTTATTTTCCACAATATCACAACAGATTCATTCAGGTCTTTATTTGATCTGTATTTTCGCCTATAATTACGCTTATAAGAAAGACTGTTGAATGGTTTTAAAATACATGAAATGTCTTCATTAGAGAAATAAAAACCCTTACAATAAGATGGTTATAATATTAACTCTGGGCTATCCAGGATGTCTGCTTACTCATTCCTACATGATCCAGGGTGACTGAAGATTTATCTTACTGGGCTTTAAGAGCTATGATCTACTCTTTTATTTTTAAGATATTTTTCTTTCTTGAGGTTACCTAGGAAGGATATCTTTTGACCACATTTTTTTTTTTACGTCTAGATTAGGGAAACATCTACAACCACATGTTAGATTGGAATGGGAATTAAAAGAAATTAAAGAGTGTAAGCAAAAACTCAGTTGTATGTAAGAAAACCCAGTTTCCCCTAAGGAAGAGAAACAGCTGGAGTCCTTTAAAAAGTAACTGCCTGTTTTTCTGTGGCTAGTGAGCCTTATCTTTCCTCCTTTCCCAGGCATGGTGAAGACCCTGGTTCTCTAGCTGTGCAGCTGCAAGGTCGCTAGACAGATACACTCAAGTCACAAAACATGTTATTCGTTAAGTAAGAAATGATGTAATGCATGCCTCAATTAATTGAATAGCTGTCATTGTTTCTCACTTCTGTAATATGCTTCCCGCTGCACAGATCTCCCCCACCCCAGGAAATGCTTAAAAGTAGCTCTTTGTTCAGGGCTCAGTCCTTTGGATGTTAATCCAACTTGGCCAGTGCACCTAAATAATAAATACCCTCCTGAACCTGACTTGTCACTGTAATTCCTTATCAATCTTGCTACAAGATAAGCTTCTGTGTTTTAAACCGACAAGAGCTTTTGCTGAAGAGCTCTCCTCAGGCAACTGGTTGAGCTCTGCCATCTTGAATGAGTCACGCCATATGTATTTGGAATTTTCTTTGTTTTAATATAGAATATTGTAAAGTCAAAGTATAATAAATTGTTTTCAGATTTGGAGTTTAAGACATACCTGAAGAGGTGGTTTTAATTCCTTTAGATGTCTTATAAAATGAGACTTTTTATATGTTAATGTATAATAAAACTGAATCAAGATTATTTTCCATTTGAATTTTTCTATAGTTTAAAAATATTTCTGTATCCTTTGTTGGTATTGTGTCACTGCAAAACTTTAGTGCAAAGTTTATATTTAGCTAAACTGTTACGTTAACTAAGAAATGCATAAATCTTCTATTAATATTTCTAATTCTCAATTAATTGATCTATGAAGATAAAAAAAAGAAAACATCTATAACCACTCACAAACACAAAAATTCTTAAGATGAGGTTTCTGGAGCTAAAAGACCTGTGAACTGAAAAAAAAAATGGTTTCTGTTGGCAGACAGTGATACTTTCTTTGCGTTCTAATTACATGAAATAATTTTTAGATTAATTAAACAAATACTAACCAAAGGGATTATTTTTATGTTTTCACTGAAATGTTATGTAACAAAGACTGAAGATTGATTTGAATAGATTGGAAGACTGCTTCATTATTGATGATTCTTTTTTTTTTTTTTCCTGTGGTTTTCTTTTTAATTATCTTTAGTCTTGCGATCACACATTTTAAAATTTGTGTATATCTCCACTACTTTAATCCTTTTAAGTTGGCAAAAGCACCATTCCCAATCACAAATACACAGTTCTACAGTTTTTTTTTTTTTTTTTTTTTTTTTTTTGAGACTGAGTCTGGCTCTGTCGCCCAGGCTGGAGTGCAGTGGCCGGATCTCAGCTCACTGCAAGCTCCACCTCCTGGGTTTACGCCATTCTCCTGCCTCAGCCTCCCGAGTAGCTGGGACCACAGGCACCCGCCACTTCGCCCGGCTAGTTTTTTTGTATTTTTTAGTAGAGACGGGGTTTCACCGTGTTAGCCAGGATGGTCTCGATTTCCTGACCTCGTGATCCACCCGTCTCGGCCTCCCAAAGTGCTGGGATTACAGGCTTGAGCCACCGCGCCCGGCCCCAGTTCTACAGTTTTATGTTTCTGAATGGCTGTTTAAAGACAATCCTAAATTATAACTTAGTTTGACTTAGATTGTAAAGAATTCGAGAGTGAAGTTTAACTTGCTACTATTTTAAAAGCATGTGACCTTATAGATTTGTACGATGTGAGAAGTGTTGAATAATCTTTAATATTACACATAAACCATACTAAAATGCTTTTCAATAAGTAAAAGGAACCCTTTTAAATACAGGGAATTATAATTAGATTGGCATTGTAAGGCCAAAACTGTAGACATTGCTACCTTATTTATCTTCAACCCTTGCCTTTAAGAGGCAAATGAACACAAAATACAGGTGAATCTTGCTTAGTTCTGAGACAGTGAAGGAATTTCCCCAGTATTTAAATATATTCACATAACCAGCTATATAAATCTAAATATAAAACCAATCTCCAGTAAGTTTTAAGATGGCACTCACCATCTTTGCGAAAAGTTGAACATTACTAACAAAGTCTAATCATATCTTTAGAAGGGGTAAACAGTGATAGCATTTACTGAATTGGAATTACTATTAAAATTCAAAAACTGAACATATTCATTTAACCACAAGCCAGTCTTAGTTTTAAATCAGGACTGCCCAACAAAATATTCTGTCAGTCATTCATGATCTGAATTCTGGTGTATGAGATCTATTAAAGTATGGTACACATAAAAAAGTCATGAGACATTTGTTTTGTAATAAATAAGGCAGTGGCCAATTATTACTCATTAGTAGCTTTTTTGAGATAAGCTATCAAGTCTGCCCTTTCTTCCTTCTTCTTAATGCCGACAAAGATCATTTTTGTTCCAGGGATGTACTTCTTGGGATTCTCCAAATACTCCATCAGTGTATCCTCTCCCCAGGTGATGCCTTTGTTCTTATTGGCGGCTGTGTAAGAGTATCCAGGGGCCTGACCTGTCTTCCGCCCGAAGAGACGAGGGAGATTTGGCCCAGTCTTGTGCTTGCCTCCCTTTTCAACGGTGTGGCACTGGGAACAGTTCATAATAAAAATCTTCTTGCCTTTCTCAACATCACCCATATTTAATTCTCTTTTTAGTCACTGGTGCAACGAAGATTCCCGCTCCAAAGCAGGACGTCCCCACTCTCTCCATTATTGATGATTCTTATGCTTGTCTTTGGAATCTCTTGCTTGGCTGTTATGTAGAATCGGATTTTAAGGCTTTGATATAAGGATGACCTGGATTCTGGGCTGCTTGTTACCCTGGTAGGTTCTTGAATGAAAAGTTGAGATGATTTGCAGTGGGACAAGACAGATTAGCAATAGAAGATGCAGAGAGTGGAGAGGCTTGTTAGAGGTACGAGGAAGATGGCTTTGACTTTGACTCAGGTGTGAATCAGTTAGGTGGTGGAAGTGAAAATGAAGAGGAGATGCCAAAAGGCAAGAAGTATCAGGAAGGCATAGACTGATGAAACTTGGATATCTGTAACATACTTGCAATGCATGAATGCAACGTTATTCTCTCCTGCCTCTTACAGGCCTGCCCTTTCTCCATCTGTGCATCTTTTGGAAACATTAGAGGATATTCAACATTAACACTGAATATTGAGCCCATTTCAACATTAGACCTTGTTTTTATTTCTGCTTTAACATGGTTTAAGTATGTCTGCAAAGGAATAATTTTTTTAAAATTAATTAATTACTTTTTTGAGACAAAGTTTCACTTTTGTCACCCAGGCTGGAGTGCAATGGTGCCATCTTGGCTCACTGCAGTCTCTGCCTCCTGGGTTCAAGCAATTCTCCTGCTTTAGCCTCACAAGTGCTGGGATTACAAGTGTTACATCATCATGCCCAGCTAATTTTTGTATTTTTAGTAGAGACAGGGTTTCACCATGTTAACCAGGCTGATCTCGAACTCCTGACATTGTGATCCACCTGCCTCGGCCTCCCAAAAGTGCTGGGATTACAGGTTTGAGCCATCATGCCTTGCCTATTTTTTTAATTTAGTTTTGCTCTCGTTGCCCAGGCTGGAGTACAGTGCCGCGATCTTGGCTCACCGCTGTCTCCGCTTCCCAGGTTCAAGCAGTTCTCCTGCCTCAGCCTCCCTCATAGCTGGGATTACAGTCATGCTCCACCGCACCTGACTAATTTTGTGTTTTTACTGTCGACGGGGCTTCTCCATGTTGGTCAGGCTGATAGAGGAAGAAAATTTAGTGACGTTGTTAACCATCCTTTTTCATATCTCAAAGAGTACAAGATTTGTTTATCTAACAGTTTTGCCAAGAAGGCAGTGAATGAAATTTTACTTTTGAAGTATGTTTGAAGTTAACATTTTGTGATAGGGAGCCAAGCTCATTCTAACAACACTTTCCTATGGAAGTGCCTTCCTTTGAGCTCAACATAAATCATGTCTTAAAGTAACTTTCAGCCTGATTAGCATTGTCTAGTAGAAATGAAATTCAAACCACATATGTAATTTTAAATTTTCTAATAGCGCCATTAAGATAAGTTTTAAAAATATAAAGAAACAATTATACATTTTATCTACCTGATACATCTGAAATATTATCATTTATATGGAAACAATAGAAAAGTTACTAACAAGTTATATACATTTTTTCATGCCGAGTCTTTGAAATATGATTCGTATTTTGCACTTATGGCACATTTTAATTTTGACTAGCCACATTTCCAGTACTCACTATTCATTTGTGGCTAGTGGCTATCGTATTTGACACTATGGCTTTAGAGAACTGAATTACGAACCAAAAGATGACAGATTTGATTCAGTTCCCTACTGGGAAAGTTTTCCATCAGCTATGTCTAATTCTCCTTCATACCTACACCCACCCCTTAGCACCCAGTATAGTAAAATTCAGTTACTATTCTTTGCCTGTATTCTCCTCAGCTTTGGATTTCAACCCACTGGCTTTCCCATACCGAGCAGCCAATGCAGACTGTTGTTTTCAATACCTGTTCCTTTCTAAAAAGATGAAGGCAGTAATCATATTTGTGCTTAGCATAAGGAGTTCAAGAGAAATTACCTATTTGTTTTGTGATCCCCCTTCCATATTGCTGGGGCATATTTTCATCTGGGGTTTTATAAATAGGAATTGCCCATCTGGTAAATAGAGTGTATGATAATGGAGATAACCTAGTCGTCCTCCTATACCCTGCCACAATTGACACTCATTTATTCCTCAGAACACCTAATGCTTTATGTAACAGGACTCTGGGAAGAAAGGGCAGTGGCAGGCAAAAATGAAATCGATATGTCAAACATCACTCTTGTGTGAAAATTTTAGATTTGGTATTTAAGCAGAAGGTTTCTTTTTCTTTCCTCTTACAGATTTGTTAAATTACAAGCATGGCTTGATGTTGCCAGGGCAGCATTTTGGAGCTCATGGAGAGAGAGCCAGTGATTTTTAGCCTTCTCTATACAAGAATAGTTGTGGACAAAGCCATCCTAGAAGGGAGGTGATCTCCGTATGGTAAAGCCCAGGTTGTTGCAATGTATTTTACCTTGTGAAATAGGGTGAGCAATCTTCTACTTTGTTAATTCATCTGCTATATAAAGTCTTTCTTAAATTTTAGTAAAACGCTGACTCATAGTCTTTTATGTTTTGACAATGTTCAAAGAACTCCGTGGTCTCTAGCAACCTTTGGACTCCCAAGTAATATTGCAAAGATCTTTATTGTTGGCTTGCTTGAGAGTATTTCTGCTAAGCCCCACCAGTGACTTCCATTTTGTTTCTTCAGATAGTTTTGTTGTTGTTGTTGTTGTTGGAGTTTCGATCTTGTTGCCTAGGCTAGAGTGCAATGGCGCAATCTTGGCTCACTGCAACCTCCGCCTCCCAGGTTCAAGCGATTCTCCTGACTCAGCCTCACAAGTAGCTGGGATTACAGGCATACACCACCACTCCCGGCTAGTTTTGTATTTTTAGTAGAGATGGGGTTTCACCATGTTGGTCAAGCTGGTCTTGAACTCCTTTTTTTTTTTTTTTTTTTGAGACGGAGTCTCACGCTGTTGCCCAGGCTGGAGTGCAGTGGCGCGATCTCGGCTCACTGCAAGCTCCGCCTCCTGGGTTCACGCCATTCTCCTGCCTCAGCCTCCCGAGTAGCTGGGACTACAGGCGCCCACCACCGCGCCCGGCTAATTTTTTGTATTTTTAGTAGAGACGGGGTTTCACTGTGGTCTCGATCTCCTGACCTTGTGATCCGCCCGCCTCGGCCTCCCAAAGTGCTGGGATTACAGGCTTGAGCCACCGCGCCCGGCCTGGTCTTGAACTCCTGACCTCAGGTGATTCACCCACCTCGGCCTCCCAAAGTGCTGAGATTACAGGCTTGAGCCACTGTGCCTGGCTTCAGATAGTTCTTCCAAAACAAATCATCAATTGCCTGATTGCTAAAACTTACGTCACATTCTTTCAATTGTATATCTGAGTCACTGCAAAAAGGCATCTCAGTTTCCTTCCAGAAATTTGGCAGGGGAGCTTCTCACACAACACAGCAATGTATTGGATCTTTTCATTGACACTTGAGACTGGATTCGCTCTGACTGCTCTATCTTTTTTCTTCTTCTAATTTTCCTGGAATTGCCTTTGCTGTCTTCTTGTGTTCTCTTGAGATGACACTTCCACACCTATTCCAGAAGCATCACAATACTTCTGTTTTTTAAAAGCCTTAGCTTTTGTTCATGGGTTCACTTGTACAAGAATATTAACATTGACTCTTGCTTTGTGTAATATTCAGTATATCAAGTTAGTCTTTTAAAAAAATCTTTTTTAAGCCTTTAAACTCAATTTATACATCTCATTTGTGAATTTGTTATTTTTGCATTAATGTTTAAAGACAAAACACAACACCTTTCTTTTGATCCTTTAAATACCAGCAGTGACACTTTCAAATCTAACACTTAAATTTTTAGTGAGCATCTAAATATTCCTTACAATGTTTAAACTTTAGATTTAACTCATCAGATTTCCTTAAATATTTAAACAGAGGTTATAACCTTAAATAATTAAATCCCAAGTATTTTAGTTTAAATCAGAAGTAGTTCAGTATGTCAGATTCTCCAAAAATCAAACACCTCAAAGAACAAATAAAACTTGCATATCCTAACATGTTGACTGCAGAAGTTATTATTACAACCAGGTCAATAGTGTTAACACCAAAGTTTGAATACTTTATTTGCTCCATGTATTTTATCAGTATTACTACTAGTAACTGATTAGTATTAATACTGGTAGCAGCATTGCATTAGTATTCATAATAGTATTAATGCTAGACTACCATTATTATTAGCGCCAGCACCAGCACCAGCATGAGCACCCGTAATATTAGCATAGAATTAACATTAATCTTAGAATTAGATTAGTATTTGTATACTTCTCAGAGTTGCAAGGTTAGCAACCCCTCAGAAAGAAAACGGATTACGAATAAAGAGTTAGTGGTTGAGAATGTCACTTGAAATTTATAAATTTGGGGTTTTCAGTTAGACATTTTTGGACCAAGACACCAAGAACTAGGTTTTGCCATTCTGATCCCTTAACCTTACGGGGACTTTTTTGTGCTATAGTCATTTATACAGCAGTAAGAATTTCTAAGCTTTGACCTTTTCTGGCAGTATAGTGAATCACAGTCACTTATGGTTGATCTTCTTACAGTGTTTTCTTACGTAATTTCTTTGAAAACTTCTGTGACAACTTTTTATTGCCTGATTAGAGAGGGTGACCAATCACCTTTGTTTGTCCAGGAATGAAGGGTTTGCTGGGACATGGAACTTTTCAGCACTAAAACAAGGAAAGTCTCCAGGATGGCTGGTTATCCTAGATTCTACGCCAGTAGTTCTCCACTTTCACTAGAATGGTCTAGGGAACTTTTCAAATATAGCAGGACCCAAGTCCCACTTCCAGAGATTCTGATTTAATTAGTCTATGGATAAGGCCTAGTCATGGATATTTTTGAAATGTTCCCAAGTGATTTTCATGTGTAACCAAGGTTGAGAACCATCGTTCTGCATTCTCTACCCAATTTGACACACCCTATGCAACATTTTATTGTCCACTTTGACCTACTGGAATTTAGCAAAACTTTAATTTGACAAGCATGTGTTTGGGTTCATCA